TCCGATTGCAATGAAACTTTCGATATTGGCATGTATCGGAGGGTAACTTCATGGATTATTGCCCCTGATTGTACGAAAAATCACCTTTTTAGCTTGTGAACACTGTAGGGGTCACAATTCTTATCTGATTTGGTTTAAACTTCCTGAATTATGGCCCCTGATTGTTTTTAGCTTGTGTATCAGGGTTGTTGACCCTCTGGAGGTCACAATTTTCATCTGATTTTGATGAAACTTGAAATGCATGTTTATAACCCAAAATATCTTTGTTCCTGTCGATTTTCATACCTATCGAATTGTAACTTCCTGAATTATGACCCCGGATTGTATGAAAAAACACGTTTTTAGCTTGTGGTCCCTCTAGAGGTCACAATTATTATCCGATTTAAAAAAACGTTCGAATATATCACTGTTACACCGTAATTTTGTCGAGTTTAAATTGCATGAAACTCGGACCAAAATTGCCGGACAAAATGGCTGCCCTTCGTACGCAAATAGTGTAATCTGGTATATCAAAGTTGTGGACCTCTAGAGGCCACAATTTTGATTCGATTTTGATGAAACTTGAAATGCAAGTTTATAACCCAAAGATCTTGGTTCCTTTTAATATTCGTGCATATCGGATCGTAACTTCCTGAATTATGGCCTCTGATTTTACGAAAAAAAAGGGTGTTTAGCATGTGGTCCCTCTAGAGGTCACAATTATTATTCGATTTTAAAAAACGTTTGAATATATCGCCGTTACACCACAATGTTTGATGAATTCAAATTTGTTGAAAATCGGGCCAAAACTGCCTTACAAAATGGCCACCCCTCGTACGCAAATAGTGTAAACATCTGGTAAATCAATGTTGGGGACACTTTACAGGTCACAATTTTGATCCGATTTTGATGAAACTTCAAATACATGTTTATAACCCAAAGATATTGGTTCCTTTTGATATTCGGACATATCGGAACGTCACTTCCTGAATTATGGCTCATGATTGAACCAAAAATCACGTTTTTAGCTTGTGGTCCCTGTAGAGGTCACAATTTTTATACGCCCACATTGAAATGTGGTCGTATATTGACGTCGCCTCCATCCGTCTATCCGGCCGGCCGGCGGTCCGTCGTCCACAATTGCTTGTGGATGCTCTAGAGGCTAAAGTTAATATCCAATTGACTTTAAATTTATACACAGTGTTTAAGATCATGAGACAAAGAAGCATATTGATTTCCAGCAATTTCTGATAATTACTGCCAGAGTTATGGCCCTTGATCACTTCAAAAAATCTTGTGGTCACTCTAGAGGCCAAAGTTAATATATTTCCGATAATTACTGCCAGAGTTATGGCCCTTGATCACTTTGAAAAATATTGTGGACACTCTAGAGGCCAAAGTTAATATCCGATTGAGTTTAAATTTATACACAGTGTTTAAGGTCATGGGACGAAGAATCCTATTGATTTTCAGCGATTTCCGATAATTACTGCCAGAGTTATGACCCTTGATCACTTTGAAAAATATTGTGGACGCTCTAGAGGCCAAAGTTAATATCCGATTGACTTGAGATTTATACACAGTGTTTAAGGTCATGAGACGAAGAAGCCTATTGATTTTCAGCGATTTCCGATAATTACTGCCAGAGTTATGGCCCTTGATGCCTTCAAAAAATCTTGTGGATGCTCTAGAGGCTAAAGATAATATCCGATTGATTTTAAATTTATACACAGCGTTTAAGGTCATGAGACGAAGAAGTCTATTGATTTTCAACTATTTCCGATAATTCCTGCCTGAGTTATTGCCCTTGATCACATTGCAAAAACTTGTGACGCTCTAAAGACTAAAGTTATCATTCGATTGACTTCAGATTGATGCACAGGGTGTAAGATCTTGAGACGAGCAAGTACATGTATATTGATTTTCAATGAATTTTTATGACTTGAACAGCTAAATCCATGATATTAAAGTTTTGTATACAAAACGTCAGCATGGGGCATAACTTTATAAAAACCAAAGGTTTTCTGATAATTACTTCATAAGTTGTTGCTCTTAATCAGATTTTAGTGTATTATAAATGTTTCATTACCGAAAAAAGTATGCGACAACTCTTGTTGACTGCCCGGACGATTTAGCTGCTGTGGGCGTGTGTTTCGTTGCCAGCAACCTATATCCAATTTAAAATAAAAAACCTGAACTTAACTTCCTGGATTATGGCCGCTGATTGTTCCAAAAATCAGATTTTTAGCTTATGGATTCTCTAGAGGTCACAATTTTTTTCCGATTTTAAATACCGTTAAAATACATCATGATTCCACCATTATGAAGGTTGAATTCGAATGTCGGGAAAATCGAAATGAAACTGCCTGGCAAAATGGCTGCTCTTTGTACGCAAATTTGTGTAGAAATGTGTAATACAAAGATTGTGGACCCTCCAGAGGTCACAATTTTTATCTGATTTTGATTTAACTTAAAACAAATCTTTATATCCCAAAGATCTCAGTCCCTTTTGTTATTTGCACATTTCAGGCCATATCTTTCTGGATTATTGCCCCTGATTGTACAAAAAATCGCGTTTGGTTTTAGCTTGTTCTCTATCCATCTCTTGGGCGTATCCTGCCTGGCAGCCGCTGTTTGTGTTTTTTCCCCGCCATTTTCATTTCATTTTGTGATCCGTCTCATTTTTAAACAGCTTGATCGATTTTTCTGAAACTTCTGGAAGTTAATCGGATTCCATCAATACAAATCTCAGTTATTTCCTTTTATTTTTCAGATTATTTTTTCGGCTGGGTGAAATGTTTCTAGCCACATTTAAGCTTAATTTTGCGAGTTTTTGATCGATTTTAATAATTATTTTTTCTTGTTAAGATTCTTTATATAACCCATGATCGGCGTGACAGGAAGTGACCGTGAATATGAAAGCTTTCATGATCTAATTACGTGTTACGTATTTTTTCTGTAAGTGTTTTTTTTTATTTTTTGTCCCTCGCCTTTCAAAGAAAGCAGGGAACTATCAAAATGGGTCGGTCTGTCTGTCTGTCCGTCACATTTTTGGGACACAATAACTCTCTTTCTAATTGACCTAGAATGTTCAAACATGGTGTAGGTGTTTATTGGGTCAATGCCTTGATAGAGTTCGAAGATGAGCATTTTCTGCTTAGGGTAAGCAGAGATAAGCAATTTGATTGGTTGATGCTTTGGGACACCATAACTTTAATTCTAATTAAGTGAGAGTGATGAAACTTGGTGTAAAGTTTCATTACATCATTACCATGACTAAGTTCGATAATGAGCATTTTCTGCTTAGGGTAAGCAGAGCGATAAGCAATTTGATTGGTCGAGACTTTGGAACACAATAACTCTCCTTCTAATTGAGCTAGAATGTTCAAACTTGGTATAGGTGTTTATTAGGTGAATGCCTTGATGGAATTCGAAGATGAGCATTTTCTGTTTAGGGTAAGCGGAGATAAGCAATTTGATTGGTTGATGCTTTCGGGCATGATAACTTTAGTTCTAATTAAGTGAGAATGATGAAATTTGGTGTATAGTTTTATTGCATCAATATCTTGACTAAGTTCGATAATGAGCATTTTCTGCTCAGGGTAAGCAGAGCGATAAGCACAATAACTCTTATTCTAATTGAGCTAGAATGTTCACACTTAGCGTAGGTGTTTATTAGGTGAATGCCTTGATGGATTTTGGAGTTCGAAGACGAGAATTTTCTGCTTAGGGTAAGCAGAGATAAGCAATTTGATTGGTTGATGCTTTGGGACACGATAACTTTAGTTCTTATTAAGTGAGAGTGAGGACACTTGGTGTATAGTTTTAACACATCAATACCTTGACTGAGTTCCATAGTAAACATTTTCTGCTTAGGGTATGCAGAGCAATAAGCAATTTGATTGGTCGAGACTTTGGAACACAATAACTCTCCTTCTAATTGAGGTAGAATGTTCAAACTTGGTTTAGGCGTTCATTACCTTGACTAAGTTCGATGGTGAGAATTTTCTGCTTAGGCTAAGGAGCGATAAACAACTCTACTTTTAATTGAGGTAGAATGTTTAAACTATATGTAGATGTTCATTAAGTGAATGTCTTGATTGAGTTCAATGATTAACATTTCGAGCTGAAGCTAAGCGGAGCTAATCAATTTCATTGGTCGATGCTTTGGGACAAGATGATCTTGATTCTATCTGATAGAGAGTGATGATTCTATCTGATAGAGAGTGATGAAACTTAGTGTATAGTTTGATTGTTCGATACTTTTGAAAAAAATAAATGTGCTATTAATTAGTATGTGTCATCTATTTATTTTGGGATTTCGGCGGGGGACATCAGCCTCACTGTTGGCTTGTTCTAAAAAAATGTTTGATCGCTCTTTGATTTAATGAAGGAAATAACACTGATAAAAAGGTGACATTCTCACTGAGCGAAATCTTCAGTGCATACATACATGTACTCTTAAAGGAGCTAAATCGCTAACATTTGGGACCTAGAAATTCACAAAAGTGGGTCGCAACGCATATAATACTGTAATAGGAATGTATATAAACTGATTTACATTTAATGGTTTCCGTTTTTACTCCAATTTTAAATCAGTTATGTTCGGCGAAATAAGTCAGCAATCTCAATCGAGTGCAAATTTCTAGCGTCTAGTTATTCTAGTCTACATAACTCCATTTGATTTGGTGCAATGTGTCTAGCCTCGTCCCTCGAGTCTCTCAATACAACTGGGGCTGAAGCGCATTATGGTACACGATTCGTGTACCAATGTTAAAAAAATTATTTTATCTTAAATATCGGATATCAGAAGCTCATCTTTTCCCAGTAAGTTTACATCATCAATGTTGATTTAAATTGACCAATAATTCGTGTTTTCAAAGTCGAAGATTTTGGAGGATTTTGAGTTACGGACTTAGGTCCTTTAACCAATGGTTGATTTAAGGCTTGTGGGCCTCTTGTTTTGTGTGTAAAATTAAACTAAGTTAGATAATATATGCTTACTTTTTCTTACAATATAGTTATTTCAAAGAAAAAATGGTAAAAGAGATTGCTTCCATCCTGGTGCATCAATATTCTCCCCTGATGAAATTGGTGGAATACAACAAAAAGATGTCAGTGGCTGGGACATAATTAAATCCATGATGGCAAATATATGGCCTAAAAATAAAACTGGTATCCGGCTACGAGTTATGGCAGCTTTGGGTCTATTGGTTGGATCTAAAGTAAGTGTGTTTTAAAAAATTTGCACTTAGCCGGAGTCTAGCTAATAGGGAGAACAAATGTATTTTGAGATCCTGAGCTGTGTTTTCCCAAAGAACCACATAGATAACAAATCTCAATGTTCACGTTTTCACTGTAAAACTAGAAATAAGATAAACTTTATTCATCAAAAATTGTCTTTATATTTACCTCCCATATACAACATTCAAAATCGTTATGTCTTGTAATTTTTGTGTCAGCCTGGATTTGCATGATGTTATAGCTTTTTTTTTCTAATTGGTAACATTTTAGTATGTTGGATGGAAAGTGAATTTATATAAAATATTTGATCAATAAAGATGGTCGGATTTGTAGTTTAAGTGAATGAGGAAAATTGCAATTTGTAATCCATGTGGCGGAGAAATAGTATAAACTACACACTAATTATTTCAGCAGCATCTAAAAATATATATTGCTTTGATAATTGAGGTTATCTTAACAAAAATTTACATGTGTCGGCATATAACCAACCTTAAACATAAAATTTAGAAGAGTTAGTAAAGTTACGTCGAATATCTTGATACATTGTACTGGGCATTAACTGACATTCTTTGACATGTGGTAATTGGGACATTGACTGCTCACAATGTCTGAATGTTTCCAGGGCAATTTACGTTCTAAAACACAGCTCTAAATATCTGGCGGTCTTTTAAATCTTGCACAAAGTTAGGAAATTTTGTACAAATTAATTAGGAAATTAGGTTTAGGTTCTATTTATTATGTAGCTGACTCACGAATGTCAGGTAGTATTTGGATCCAGTTTTAGAAATAGCAATACATGTCTAATTGGGTTGTTTGTGGGGACTATTAAAATGGGTTTGTTCGTCTGTCTGTCTGTCTGCCTGTCTGGCCGTCACGCTTTTGGGACACAATAACTCTCTTTCTAATTGAGCTAGAATGTTCAAAGTTGGTGTAGGTGTTTATTGGGTCAATGCTTTGATGGAGTTTGAAGATGAGCATTTTCTGCTTAGGGTAAGCAGAGATAAGCAATTTGATTGGTTGATGCTTTGGGACACAATAACTTTAGTTCTAATTAAGTGAGAATGATGAAACTTGGTGTATAGTTTCATTACATCAATACCTCGACTAAGTTCGATTATGAGAATTTTCTGCTTAGGGTAAGCAGAGCGATAAGCAATTTGATTGGCCGAGACTTTGGAACACAATAACTCTCCTTCTAATTGAGCTAGAATGTTCAAAGGTGGTGTATATGTTTATCAGGTGAATGCCTTGATGGAGTTTGATGATGAACATTGACTGCTTACAGTAAGCAGAGATAAGCAATCTGATTGGTTGATGCTTTGGGGCATGATAACTTTGGTTATAATGAAGCAAGAGCGATGAAACTCCGAATATAGATTCATTATATCATTACCTTGACTGGTTTCGATGGTGAGAATTTTCTGCTTAGGCTAAGGAGCGATAAGCAATTTGATTGGTTAAGACTTTGGAACATAACAACTCTGCTTTTAATTGAGGTAGAAGAATGTTTACACTTGATGTAGATGTTCATTAGGTGAATGTCTTGACTGATTTCAATGATTAACATTTCGAGCTGAAGCTAAGCAGAACTAATCAATTTCATTGGTCGATGCTTTGGGACAAGATAATCTTGACTCTATCTGATAGGGAGTGATGAAACTTAGTGTATAGTTTGATTGCTCGATACTTTTGAAAAAAATAAATGTGCCATTAATTAATATGTGTCATCTATTTATTTTGGGATTTCTGTGTTTCATTTATTTTTTCAGGTTTTAAATGTACAAGTACCATTTATATTTAAATGTGTAGTAGATTATCTGAATAAACCCAGTGAATATCTGCATATGGAAACTGTCCCGATAGCCATAATGACAACAGCTACAGCTCTTATGATAGGATGTAAGTCACAAAAATACTCTCAATGCCTAGTAGGTACTTGTTCTTCAATACTGAGCTTCGATTTGCCATTTGTATACGCCCACATTAAAATGTGGTTGTATATTACCATCGTGTCCATCCGACGTCCACAATTTGCTTGTGGACTTTCTAGAGGCTAAAGTTAATATCCAATGAACTTTGAATTTATACACTGTGTTTAAGGTCATGATAATTTCCGATTACTTTGGAAAATTTTGTGGACGCGCTATACGCCTATATAAATTTATACACAGCGTTTAAGGTCATGAGACAAACAATCAAAACAAGTTCTAACTAGAACTGCGATGCAGTAATGACGGGTTTCACCAGTGCCACGTTAACCTTGAACTTATGTCACTTCCTGGGGATCATGGTGGCTAAATTGGTAAGAAGCTGTTTCGCTAGCCTGGAGGTTGGGTGTTCGATCCATGCACTGACCAAGAAAGTTCATCCAGATTTTCCGGCGTGTTCAAACGTCATTAAGGTGTAACGGTGATATATCCAAATTTTGGATATATCACCGTGTGGACCCTCTAGAGCTCACAATTTTGATCCAATTTTGATGATCTCCTTGGTTCCTTTCGATATTTGCGCATATCGGATCGTAACTTCCTGAATTATGGCCCTTGAATGTATGAAAAATCGTGTTTTTAGCTTGTGGACCCCCAAAAATAGTTTATCAAGTAGCCACCACATGATTTCCCAACAGAAAATTTGGTTTCCTATCGATATCTGTTTTCGATCATGGAGAATTAGGCTCCTACGGTAAATAATAATAATAATTACTAGAACTGCAATGCAGTAATGACGGGTTTCACCGGTGCCATGTTACCCTTGAACTTACGTCTCTTCCAGTGCCTCGTTATAGCCTTGAACTTATGTCACTTCCGGTATCAATGAAAGAGTTAAACATTTTTGCCAAAATGGCATAAGACATCATATGGTGAAAATTTTATAAAAATCGAATAATAACTGACACTTTAATAGACCAAAAATCTTGAAAAGTAACTTGTGGAAAATCGTCTATGCTACAGGTTCACTTTTAAACCCTTTTTAGCCTTTAAATCAAAATGGCACAAATGCAAAACCGAAATAAAAATAAAAAATTAAGGAAGACATATTTTGCGGCTTTAGTAGGAGCATTCAGCTTGTTCTATTAGATATGTAAACATTAATATTTGCTTTTTAAAAAGAACTTTAGACACGTCAAAATTGAAATTTTGGGCAAAATTACATCACTTCCAGGGCTGACGGAAACTTTTATTGGTAGAAGTAAGTTAAGAATTTGCACCATGGAAGATATGGGTTTTTTCTTTAACACAAATCAGGCAATAAATAATTAACCCAGAACCCATAAACTGAAATTAAAATGCGAAAAATCTTAAAAAGTGATCCTGACAAAATTGGTTATTTCTCGGCATGGGAAGATGCTAGAAACAATTTTTATACGCCCACATTGAAATGTGGTCGTATATTGTTGTCGCCCCAGTCTGTCCATCCGGTGGTCCGGCGTCCACAATTGCTTGTGGATGCTCTAGAGGTCAAACTTTAAATTTATACACAGTGTTTAAGGTCATGAGACGAAGGAGCCTATTGATTTTCAACGATTTCCGATAATTACTGCTAGAGTTATGGCCCTTGATCACTTCAAAAAATCTTGTGGATGCTCTAGAGGTCAAAGTTAATATCCGATTGACTTTAAATTTATACACATTGTTTAAGGTCATGAGACAAAGACGCCTATTGATTTTCCACGATTTCCGTTAATTACTTCCTGAGTTATGGCCCTTGATCACTTCAAAAAATCTTTTGGACGCTCTAGAGGTCAAAGTTAATATCAGATTGACTTTACATTTATACACAGTGTTTAAGGTCATGAGACGAAGAAGCCTATTGATTTTCAGCGATTTCCAATAAATACTGCCAAAGTTATGGCCCTTGATCACTTTGAAAAATCTTTTGGACGCTCTAGAGGCTAAAGTTAATCAACGATTGACTTTAGATTTATACTCAGTGTTTAAGTTCATGAGACGAAGAATCCTATTGATTTTCAGCTATTTCTGATAATTACTGCCGGAGTTATGGCCCTTGTGGATGCTCTAGAGGCTAAAGTTAATATCTAATTGACTTTAAATTTATACACAGTGTGTGAGACCATGAGATGAAGAATCATATTGATTTTCAACGATTTTGGATAATTGCTGCCAGAGTTATGGCCCTTGATCACTTTGAAAAATCTTGTGGACGCTCTAGAGGTCAAAGTTAATATCCGATTGACTTCAGATTGATACACAAGGTCTTGAGACGAACAAGTATATTGATTTACAATGAATCTTTATGACTTGAACAGCTAAATTCATGATGTTAAAAGTTTTGTATACTAAATGTTAGCATGGGGCAGAACTTTATAAAAACCAAACAAATTCTAATGGTTTTCAGATAATTACTTAATGAGTTGTTACTCTTAATTGGATTTTTATACGCCCACATCTTCATGTGGACGTATATTGTCGTCGCCCCTGTCCGTCCGTCCGTACGAAAAATCACGTTTTTAGATTGTGAACACTGTAGAGGTCACAATTTTTATCCGATTTGGTTTAAACATGAAATGTATGCTTATAACCAAAGATCTCGGTTCCTTTCGATATTCGTGCATATCGGAACGTAGCTTCCTGAATTATGGCCCCTGATTGTACGAAAATCGCGTTTTTAGCTTGTGGACCCTATAGAGGTCATAATTTTTATCCGATTTAAAAAAAGTATTACTATATCACCATTACACCCTAAGGACGACTGAGTTCGAATTTCGTGAAAATCGGCCCAAAACTGACAGACAAAATGGCCGCCCTTTGTTCTCAAATAGCGTAAAAATATGGTATATCAAGGTTGTGGACCCTATATAGGTCACAATTTTTATCCGATTTTGTTGAAACTTGAAATGTAAGTTTATAATCCAAAGATCACGGATCCTTGTGATATTCGCGCATATCGAATTGTAACTTCATGAATTATGGCCCTTGATTGTAGGAAAAATCACGATATTCAAATATCAATTATCGGTATATTTACCTTCCGGCGGCAAGTTACGGTCACTTTAACATGACTGAACTTGCCATAGTCTGGCATTAGCAGACGAGTGAATGAATACACAATGTCAACACAACAAATATTTCCCCCCTCTGCTAACATACTGGCACATTTTAAATATATATTATTGTAAAAAACTAAACTTTAAGATTAAATACATTAATTTAATATTTTCGTTTTTGTTGTTATTACTAGTTGAAACTAAAATAGGTCACGCACTTTGTGAACAATGATATGGCTCCCTCAACACGAGTTAATTACGGAGTCTTAAGTTTTGTATATAATATGTTAGAAGAAGAATAAAAGTATTATGAGATGTTAAACTAGTCTTGTCATCTGAACCTGATATAAAGACAAAATACTGTTACATATGTGCCCACTCTCTCCGGCTATGCCAAAATGTATCGAAAGTTAAAATCCAATGATTATTGTTAAAATTACTGCAATATTTCTAAAAACGATAGCTTAGGTGATTTTGGACATTTCGCATTTTCGCAGAACGTTCAAAATAGCTTTATCCTCTAAGTCACACCCACTTTCCCACTAAAACCGAAGAAATCGTAAGGATGCGACAAGCAGTTGCGGAGATCTAATCAAAATGGAATTGGAATAATAATAATAAGAATAATAATCTTAACAAAAACAAGCTACGCAGTGTGAAACCCTAATAAGAATAATAATCTTAAAAAAAACAATAGCGTTTCACACAAGCTACACAGTGTGAAACCCTAATAATCTTAACAAAAACAATAGTGTTTCATACAAGCTATGCAGTGTGAAACCTTAATAATAATCTTAACAAAAACAATAGTGTTTCGCACAAGCTACGCAGTGTGAAACCCTAATAAGAATAATCTTAACAAAAACAATAGTGTGAAACTCTAACTAGAACTACGACGCAGTAATGACGGGTTTCACCGGTGCCATGTTACCTTTGAACTTGTGTCAATTCCGATGCCAAGTTACTCTTGAACTTATGTCACTTCCATGTATACATTTGTTACCATGTGTCACATCTGTTAAAAAGTGATCCCGGTCAAAATTGTAAATTTTCGCAAAATTACGTCACTTCTTTTGGCGACAGAAAACATTATCGGTAACAAAAAAGTTGCACCATGAAACATATGAACTTTGTATTATACATATCTGGGAAACCTAGAACCCATAAACTGAAATTATAAAGGCAAAAAATCTTAAAAAAGGATCCTGACAATGGTTGTTATTTCTCGACAACGGAAGATGCTAGAAGATGTTAGTTGACTTTCTAATGGGAAATTAAAATGCAAACAAAATTTGAAAAGTGATCCTGACAATAGTGGTTATTTCTCGACAACGAAAGATCCTAGAAGCAATTTGTGGACATCTATATGATCATATTGATTCAATCTATATGTCCTTTGGAATCAAATATAATGTTAAACGAATGCTAAATATAACTTCCGGTGATAACAAAAATCTTAAATTACTTTTATGAAATCGTAAATGACATTAGACATCACATGGTGAAAATTTTAAGAAAATCGGATAATTTTTGACACCTTTATGGACCAAAAACCATGAAAAGTGACTTGTAGAAAATGGTATATTTCTCGGCAACTGAACAAGTTATAAACCATTTTGTGGTATTTGTATAATCGTATGGGTTCATTCTATTTTTTGATTCGAATCAAATATCATAATTTTAAAAACATTACAAATCAGACCCATGTAAAAAGTGGCATGAGGCATCACATGGTAAAGAAAATAATGTGAAAAGTGACTGATGCAAAATTGCCTATTTCTCGGCAACTGCTAATATAACAAACTTATTTTGACATACATTGTCTTTGATGGATTAATGCTACAGGTTTTTGAAAGTTGTCAAGAAATATTTTAAAATATGAAAAGCACTGAAT